ACCATTGATTAAGAACTCACTGCTTTCTATCTGTCAGACAGTTTTTATCCACCTTACTGTAATAGTATTCAGACCATAATTCTCTAGGGCCTCTATGAGCTTCCTGTGTGGTACCGTGTCAAAGGTCTTGCTAAAATCCAAACAAATTATATCCACCACATTTCCTTTATCCGCCCAGTTTGTCACCGCACTGAAATACCCATCACAATGAAACATTTATTGATGTAAGTTTCTCTGTTAAACCAGAATAAATGTGAAGGTTCTGCTGTGATTATGTGATAGAGCCTGCTTCTTAACAGGTATTATCATTTTATGCACTAAAGATAATATGAGCCATGGGAGATGATACCATTCAGCAGGAGCAGTGAGGCTGTGAAGATCAAAGCATTATGAACCTTGAAAGGAAGTGGGAGAAGCTTATATGCTACAATAGCTTCTAAAGGGCATAAGTAAAGTCTTCAATCTTCAAGTAAAGTATTCCAAGAGATGCTCAGTGAATATCAGCTTCAGGACTGTTTTACAAAAAAACTGTATCTTTAGAGAAAGAATTGTTTGGGCAAGGCCTYGTGAAAGCTGCATGCTGTCACTGTTCCTATTCCTTGGGAACATAAACAGGATCTAGGGACAGCTTGTGCAAGAAAACAGTTGGAATAAGGAATATCATGGTTTTCAGCAGCCAACTTGATTACCATCATCACCCCTGCGTAGGAGGAAAGCTTCAAGAGGTATTTAGAAGGATGCTGGGTCCYACCTGACTGTAACAGAACCCATTAAACTGCACTTTAGGAGTCCAGGTCAGACCTTAAGTGCAGTTGTAGAGACTAACTCTTCTGTGGGTTGAGAAGTTCAGCTTCTCATGTGCTTTCACAGCTGGGTTTCTCAAGTGCTTGTTGCTTTCTCTGTTAGCAGTAGAAATAAATGAAGGGAGTGTACTGTGCTGTGAAGGGCTCCAACACGTTTAACAGGTTKGAGGGCCCTTGTGGTGAAATTGCATCCAGTACCTGTTTCCAAGTGACCATGAAGGTGGATTATGCAGTGCAGCTTTAATATGGTTGATTGTATCTAACTTTCTGAAACCGAGATTTCAAGGAGTGTTAGTCTTCGCCCAAAGGCAGGTTTTATCATACCTGAAMAAAAATAGTTCAAATACTATTGGGGGATGTGGGGTGTGTGTGAAATGTAGCAAAAAAATACCCCTTTTTCCTGATTAAAATGCTTTTGACTGAAACAGCCATGGTTTGGAAATTAACATTTGTAATGGATGTAGTCTTCACTGAGAAAGTAAACTCAAAGGATGAATGCCATAAGGAAGACAAAATCGCTGTGGGCACTCATCTTTGCAGTGAACCAATAACAGATGGAGATTTCCCATTTTGACAAAGAAACCTTTGATCTCCTGTTGTCCAGCCCTGCAGTGGGAGGAACCCTTGATCCCAGCACAACGCTGAAGTTGTCCTCTCCTCCCATTCTACTCAATCACAAAAAATTCCCAGGTTTCTCCCATCAGCAGCCCTGTGACTCTGGTCTGAGCCACAGTCTTAACAGTGTTAGGAATAAGCCCAGACCAATGCTGCTACACAATGCAAGTGGCTATGAGTTTGAAGGCAGAACTGGAAATAACCAAAATCCCTGCATAGTTTTGAAAGTGTACTAAGAGCTCCACTTCAAACCTTTTGGGAAGATTTTTCAAGCACTGGCATTGCTTTTCTTTTTTATTCTGTCCACTCAGGACAAGAGACAGGTGACAAACTAATACCTCCTAAAGTGCATTCACCGTAAAAAAGCAGTCAATCAGTGCTATATCTGTGTTAATAAGATTTGTTCTTTTGTGTTACCAATGAATCTGAAGAGAGCATTGTGCTGGTGTATACTGGTTCTAATTTCAAAATCTGTATATTTATTACTAGATGAGGAGCCTGTACAATTGACTTAACTTTTTCATTTCTGTGACACAATTACTCCATGGTTTTGCTTATGTTTTCAAACCTAGAATGCCAGAAAATAGTCTGGGCCTTATCCTAAGTAATTATTTACATTCTGAAGTTGGAATGAGGTCTCTTGTCTGGCCCATGAGTATTTTTAAATATTCTCTTGAAGGTGATAGGGTTGTTTTTTGTTTGTTTGTGTGTGTCCATGTGTCATCCCGTGCCCTTCCTTTCCCTCATTCCCTGCTTGTTGATGAGGAGTTCCTCAGTATTACCAATAATGTTTTCTCTTGAGTAAGACATCAGTGTTTTACCTTCTTTGAATAGTTACTTGTGGCAGTCACTCCATCGTTGATTTCCAACTCAAGAAGTGAACTTGAAAAAGATCAGTTGACTGATGTTGTAACTTCTACATGTAGAAATTTCTAAAGATATCAATAAAGGTTTTACTATATTCTCTTCTGTCWTCCTCCTAGTAACTAATCCAGCTATATGTGACTGTAACTGACCTACTCCAGCTGACTTAAGGTATTCAAGGAAATTCAAAGCCTTACAGACATGGAACTTCTTTATTGCTAAGAGTTTGCAGAAGGATGACATCTTCTGAAATGTTTCCCCATATTAAGTTACGCTTTTTCTTTCCTTTTGTTTAATTTTTAGATTGAATGAATGTATTTTTTATAAAAGTGGGGAACGGGACCACAAACAAGAGACAGGCGAAGTAGAACCAGGGGCCCATGCAAGTCATGGAATATTGCTAATGTACTTCAGTCATTGCAGTTTTGGTAGCTTTCCTCTCACACTTTTCAGGCTCTGCATAAACTTTATGGCATCTTTTTCTTTCTCTTTAAGAGAGGGTGGGCAAAGCACAAAGAACTTCAGGTCAAAACTAGTAGAAAGGTTCRCTGAAGAGTGGTTGTCAGGATTGTGCCCAGGACGAGAAGAAGGTGCTAAACCTTTGTGCTTTGACAGGAGAGGGCTGGCATTTCCTCATTCTCTACAKGAAAATGGGGATTTTGGACAAAATTTGCCGTGGTGAAGCCCATGGACCAGTTTATTCCTATTTAGGTCATTGGAATAGGGCTTCAGTGGTGCAGGCTCTATGCTGGCTCTCTACACAGGGATACATTTCACCCTCAGTGAATGCTCTTTGTTTTCCCAGTTGAGGTCAGTTTTTCACTGCATTCATTAGAAGAAAAAGCTTTGGATTTTAAATACCACTGTCCCTCTCCTTTCCTGCCAGCAAGGCAGCATTACAGTACCGAAGATGTTAGAAAAGGGGTAAATTTGGAAGGGGRAGGAAGTGAAAGAAATGGAAGTTCAGAGGCTGAAGCTGTTAAAATTTATGTGTGAGTTGTGCTGATGCCTGCTTCTGATGGACTTACCCATTTTTTACCTGGATTTCTTCACTGTTTGTTTACCTTATTAGATGTCAATCAGGAGAAAGAAGGAAAGTTGTTTGATATAAGGTTGTCTAAAGGAAGAGGAACACATTTCTCAGATGGTTGCTTCAGGAAAAATTTCATCCAAGCCTATAAAGGTTATCTTGTGGCAGCATCATCCTACTGCCTCTATCAGGGGGCTCTTAAATTCAATTAGAATTGTTTCTAATTCTTCCTCTGCTGTCCCCTTCYATGCTCTCTGCTTTGCCTCCTGCTCTTCAATACCTCTGATCTTGACAGAGTGGAAAACTTAAACCTACAAATAAGTTTGTGAGCTCGTTTTTGTTTGTGGTATTGGTGTGTGTATGAACATAYTTGTGTGACAGTTTATTGTCTGATACTGTGTGTTTTATTTTAAACATCTGTGAGGATGGATTGAGAAGCCTCATATTACACTGACGTCGGAGGAATTGGATTTTTACTTATGGGAGAACAAAGTAAAATTACAGTCAGGAATTGCTCCCAGCCTGTGCTGCATTCAAAAACAGTATTAGATTTGCAGCCAGGATTTATTTGACCGTCTCTGTGAGTGTGCTTTTGCTGAAKAAAATAGCTTTGACTTTGAATGGGTTAAATTAGGCAAGTTCTGCTGTCACCTTTTAAAAATAAAATTTAATGAAGTTTTGATTTGTTCCCTTAATGAGTCATTGGTACATTATATGTGTCTGTGTATATTGCTGTATGGTTTGTTATTATGAGGCCAAATTCTGACAACTTATTGCAAAATTGTTTTAATTTATTATTAATATTTTTTTGTTTTTCTCATTTCTCCTGGTTTTGGAGCCTTTATAATTAGATATAATTAAAACCGCAGGTTTTAAACTCCAGTCTAACATTTAAAGTCATATTTATGGTAGAACCCCTGGAGTTTTATTGTCATTCCAACTATTGCAACTGCATTTTGAAAAAAAAWATATTTTTTGCATCTGTTCAGATGCTGTGTCTACAGCTACCACTTCTTAATCATCTGTTTTGCACAGTAATGTGACATTTATTTTACATGATAAGAAACCGTGCAGTTTTATAGATGAGCTATTTCATATCCCGTAACAAAAGATTGCAAGGGACCTTTTGCCTTTTACACTTTAAAAACAGCTTTCCTCCTTTTGAACTTGTCTTTCTCTTTTCCTCCATGCAACAATCTGAAAGTGCTGCATGCTGTAGAACGAATTTTTTTTTAAAATGTTGTTGGCTGGCATTATGTAAAACCATATTTTCCCTTTTGGTGCGTATGTTCTGGTCCTAGCAATGTCCTTGTTTTGCTGAAATTAACATTTTTATCCTCACAGTCTTTGGTATGTGATGTGTTTTTCTGTCTTCTTTAATTGTGATTTTTTTTTTTAATTAGTACAAGGTTGATTGTTAAAATTAAGTGGCAGAAGGCTTCTTTCCAAATTATTCAGAGATCTTTTGCTGAAGAAATATATTTTGCTACTCTCAATTGCCTTTTTCCCTTTTTCTTTCATTGCAAACTACTCTGGGAAGAGCTTCTTTTAACAAAAAAAAAGAGGCTACGCTTGACTGATAATGCATTGCTTTGGATGGTGAAACATTATGAAAGTTTAATTTTTAATTAAATCTGAAATACCAATTATAACTGAAAGAGATTTTAACCTGTTTCTTTTCAGACTGCCTGAAGTTACATTGTAGATGCTGAAATCACTGCACCTTAAAAACAAAAAGATTAAGCCACACTGCATTCCTGTAAGTAAAAGCTTTTCCRGTACCTTTTGTCCGTATTTTTCTTCTATATGCATCCAAAGATTTAGCACAGTAGCTGGTCTTGGATAAAGGTCAGAGTCCCCTTGAATAGGATTTAGAAGTTCAAAGAATGTTTTATTTAAAAATTAAAAAGGAACTTGCATCTTGAAGATCTTTAATTTCAGACCACTGAATAGATAATTCTTCCTTGCTTTGTTTTGAATTATTATTAGGAATACTGTGCATCTCTGTTTGTTGACTTACAGTTCCTGTCGCTTTGTCAGTGAGGATTTCTGCACRTTGGTGCAGAGATAACAGAAAGTAGCAGAAGATTCCTTATAGCACAAAATATAGTTTATTCCTTTCTCATGATGTCGTAACAAATTCTTCTCCTTTGTATGAGAACAAAACAAACAACTTTCTGATGACATCACAGGGGACTTCAGCTGCTTTAGGGAGTAGATGAAGGCAGAAATGCCTAATTCATCTCTGCTGTGACACAACAAAAYAGTCAAAATAACATCTACGTCTCTCAGCAAGAAAGGAGTCTTTTTCTAAGAGCATAGTTATTCCATAAATGCAAGTCAGATTGCACATCACTCTGATCTACCCTTMTTTAGAATCTGTTTATTGAATGTATTTGGGTTAATAATTAAGATTTGGTACTTCAGTGGCTGAACAACAGGCATGCAAAAGAGGATTGAAAAATACAGTAGATTCATATACTCTAATGAAATAATATATGAAACAAATCCAGAAGCTTATAGATAGGAGGGAAAAGATCTATTTCAGTTGAACAGTACAAAGCTGTGGAATTTTATAAAGCAAAATCAGTTTGTTTTCTTGTTTAAGATCAAAATGTGCAGTCTGTAATGAAATCAGGAGCCTTCTTCCAAAGTAGTACTTTTGTAGTTCAGTTTTAAAACATTTTAACTATTGGAGGAGATTTATCATGCCTTTACCCACTCTCCACCTCCCCCCCCCTTTTTTTTTTTAATATATTTTAATGTTTTATTGTAAACTAGCTGGAGGGTAGAGTTACACTGTGGGCAGCTAATGCCTGCCCCTCCAGCACACAGTGCCAAGCATGACTCAGACAGGCAGATTGTGCCATTCTGGCTCTGCTCCACTGTGTTTTTACATTACTGGCAAGGGCCATGCCATTGTGTTGTTTAAATATTGTGTATTAACTGCAGRCTGTGGCCAGTGAATGGTATTTAACATTTTCTGCTCTTGGTTGCTGAATGTGAGCAGTTTCCTTGGCCGCCAGAGGTTAAACTTGCAATTGCACTGGTGAGCCAAGTTGAAAACACTCGTGGATTTGCTGGGTCCAGCAGCAATTTAAAGGGAAGTGTTCAGGGAAAAATGGGGGAACTCTTCTGAATCTGTGAGTACCAAATTTCACGCTTGCCTTGCAATTTAGTGTGAACAACCAGGAAAATTTTTGTTGGAAAGCAGGAGTAATTCTCTTTCCAAAATGCAGCAGCAGCATAAGAGTGAATTAAGGCAAGTTGTTTGAATCCTTAGGATCCAGATGGTCACTGAGTCCTGCATGAACAGCCCAAGACAAAACAAGAGGTAGCAATCAGTGCTGGGTGGGATGAGCTTTTTTTAGTTATATTAGACTTTGAAGGGGAAAGAAATGCACAAGTGTAAAAACTCATGTATACGAAATAATTTTTTTTGTTTTTTGGGTTTTTTTTTTTGTTTTTTTTTTTTAATCAAGAGTGTCAAGTGCATCCACACAGAGTTGTTGAGCAGCTTTTTCAAGGTCCAAGTAAATCAGTGGTCAATCCTAAGACTGTTCTGCCGGTGTGTTTTTTCCATTCCATGAAGTAAAAGTCCGTATTTTTAATCCTTGAGTTTCTTGTGTTAATAGCTAAACAAACAAACAAAAGAAACCACAAGAGAAAAAAAAAAAAAAAACCCAAACCAAAACACTTTTAAACTTTTAGCTTCTTTTAAGTTTTGTAGGCTCAGGATACAGTCTGTCTCTGGAATACAGAAGAGCAAGGTGAGGAAACTTTTACATAAGCACATGTATCCTATAAAATGAGGATGTGGTTCTTGCTATGTCTTGTGTCTGTTACTTGGCACAATAAGAATGGTGGCAYGTTTTTATAGAGGAAAGTATGCTTTAAGGATTTTTTTGTAGGTTTCCTCTGTGTTTGTTGTAATAAGATGTTTCTAATTGTAAGATCCTTAATAAGGTGAACTTGCCACTAGGGCTTTCCTGTATTAACCCAAAAACAGAAAAAAGAAAAGGCAAGCCATATCTTGGCCAAGTTTTTTATTTTATTTCTTTAATTAAAGGGTGGAAATCTTATTTTAGTGTAGGGATGTCCCTAAAGCAACTGATTAATATAAGATGAGCCAAATTTTTGGCTAATGTAAAATATGCTTGACTTGGTAWATGGCATTAGAAGAAAATTCTGATACACAGAACCTGAACATCTGTCAGGCAGTTGCATGAAAAACTCAGCTTTCTAAACGTGGTACAGATATTCCCCTATTGCAAAAGGTCCGTGGGCTGGATTCTTGCTATGTTGGGTGTTCTGAGCTAARATCATGTGGGTTTGATAGGCAAATACATCTRWTGAGGTCAAAGGGACTACTCAAATRCTTCACTTTRCASATGTGGCTTAGTMCTTTGCTAGTTGCARTGAGACATTGATGTTTGTAACTAACCCCAAATAGGATTAAGTCAAGTATGAGGAGGTACCTCTGCATGACACTGGAATGAGACAATGACAGTGTATTGTGTGTGGAAGAAAAAGATGTGCTTTCAAAGCATTCATTTTAGTTATGTTGTCATGGGCTGAGGGCAGTAAGGAGTGTATCACATGTTATTTTGGTTTMAAAAAAGGTTGGTTTGTCAAGGTCTCAGCCTTGCACAGCCTGATCTGATCCATGACCAGGAGATCGGGTGTTGTAATCTCTATGGGTACTGCATCAATGAGTGGCATTGGACAAGTCATTTAACCTCACTGTGCCCTGTTCAGCAGATCACTTTCAATCTGGTTCAAACTGACACACTGAGTTTGTGTGTGCAAAGCTCTTAGAGGATAAATAGTAACCATTGTTATTATTAATAAGTATATTGTGTAGACAGGTCATGAGGGATGAAGATACAGCCACGCTTGGGGGCGATCTTTCAGAATTTGCTTGTTTTTGTTTAATTCCATCGCTCAAAGGTATCAAGGCCAACTGCAATTTACAGWAGTATTTCTCATGTCACTTTTCCCACTTTTGAGTATTTTATTGTTCCTATTCTCTCTCTGTTCCTTTGCTGCTTTCTTCCATGCTGAGTTAACCTTGCATAGAGAACTTTCCTCCCTTTTTTTTTTGTTGTTGCATTAYACAGCAGAGGCATTTGTGTAACCTCCAAATTACAGAGAGCAAATTCATTTTGTCTAGTGATTGTTTGCTGATGATGTATGAAACAGACAGAAGACAGTTTGAATTTTCATAAGTTCAATTGAGCTTGCAGGCATAAGGAAAGGAACAGGCAGAACCCAAGCCAATGTGACACAGTAAGCTGGCATCCCAGAGTGCAGGCTGCATGTGTAGAGTCAGGATGTCAGGGCTGGGAAGGGCTTCGTCCATCACAGCACTGCTTTTAGGTGAAGGAAGACTTTGGAAGCAACAAACAAGCTGCACTAGCATGTTCATTACAGTGCAAGAATCCTCATGATTCTTGATGGGTTTGGGACCTGTCCTTTCCTCCTGTAACTTGCTGTTTAACTAGAATTTCAGGTCTGAGATGGCCTTTCAGTCCATTCCCTGATCCTGTTCCTCTGACAAAATGTAAACTCCCATGAGTTTAAGCCCTTTTTTTTTTTTCCTTTATGATGCAGATATTGGCTTGTAGAAGCTGTTACTGCATATGTGAAATGAGTATGGAAGTGTGCTTGCTTTGAACAAAGATCAGTGTCTTGGGGCTGACTATCCCTGAGGAATAGTGTTAGCACTAACAAAGAGAATTAATTTTGCCTTTTCCCCTTCCTATACCAAGGCATTAATCCAGAAACTCATGGGGATAAATTCTGCCCTGATTTCTACCTGTGAAACCCCAGTGGAAATGTGGAGAGGTCAAAAATGTTTGTCAAGGCAGAAATTGTCCTAGAGTTAAAACTGTGGAGAAAGAAGAAACTGGTTGATTGTTACCTGGCCCAGGGGCAAGAGGATGTGTAGGATCCCTACTTGTCTTTACCTTCTTCTGAAAGTGTTGCTTTTTGTTGTACATTAAGGAGAATATAATAAAAAAATACATAGTGAGTGAAAAGTTATAATAAAGAGCACAGTGATTAATTGTTCTTCATGTCCACTGGGAGAAAGACCTAAAGAAATCAGTTCAAGAAGCAGTGAAAATTACCAAGTTAGATATTAGAAACCGTGTTCTGACTGTATCAGCCGTAAACAGCTGGAACACACAACCTGTAGGTACTATGGAAGCAGGGGAGGCTTCTCTTCTTCTCTTTTAAGGAATGGCTTGGAAAACCACCTCTCAGGACATGCTAGAACTTCCCATAAGACAGAAAACCAAACTGGATGGGTTCTGTTGCTCCCTAGAATKTATCTGATTCAGTCTACCGTTTGGGAATGTTGGTATGTGGCTAATACATTCCTGATAAATAAAGCTTAATGTTCCCAAAAGATTTCCAGGGTTCTCATTTTTCCATCCTCTCATAACTGAAACCACACTGTGACTTCAAAGATTTCATTGGGCTGCCAACATTTTGCTCTGACCCTTCTTTTTTTAGAGAAGGACAGGGGAGGGAGTTGTATAGACACAGAAATACAGATTTTCAGTGATGGTGAATCTGCAGGGGTTTCTTTCCAGTCAGTGCACAAATACTGATTTGTTTCAGTTASTGGTTTTTAGAATTTGGATTAATGGAGACACTCCAGGTATTGCCTGATACAAGCTCCTGTGACAAAGAACATGGAGACAGTTGAAAGTTGCAAATAGAATTGATGATCAGAGCAAATATGTAATGAGG